GAACATTGCTCAACATCATAAAAATTAAACCTTATTTTCAATAAGCAATCCTGAAAAATATTTGGGGGTGCTTAACTTTTTTCCAGGTGTATACTAAACTATTGCAAATTAGGTAAAATTACTGTTAATTTAAAACTGCCAGACGAAAGTAAATCATATCTCAAAAGGTGAAGTTTCCACTCCCAGTACTGATGAATCTGGACCCAGGCTCACATTCACTGGGTATTCCAAAATACTAATCCATTCAGTCAAATACCAAAATCAGAGCATCAGTCTTCTGGTGAAAATTACTTACAAAAAGAAAACTTTTGAACAAAAAAGAAACATCTTATCTTGAAATCAGCAAGTCCCAAAAGTATACATATGCTCCTTTAGTTACATAACATCATCCAAGGACTTGAATATTCCATAATTCAATGCCTTTTTGGTTGTTGTAAATAACCTGATAAATTTTTATTACATTTAGTACTTATGTTGCTCCTTTAACAGCCAATGTGCTCAATCAAATGTTCAAAATATGTGTTTTGTTCTTTCACTCTAATTGTTGACATTAATTTGTTTCAAGGTTGAATTGGAAAGCTTGACTTTTAATTGAAAAATAAAAATGTTTTTTGTAACAATAAAGTTCTGAAAATCATTCAGCTTCATAGTGGAATGTAGACAATTTATACAAGCTCTCCTATCTCTTTGAGGTTGATGTAGACTAAAAACTTTGTCCCGGGCCTCTGAGAATGGAATACCAGCTCATAACTATCACTTCAAGCTTCCACAGAGACAGAGGACTGAAAGGAATACATATGTACTAGTGTTCTCCCAACTCTTCAATCATAGGAGTAAATCTCTGATTTCCTAGAAAGGAACATTTGAAGAGAACATAATAGCTTATTGAAAATTAAGAATGTGGAACTTTCTTTAAATTTCCTGTCATTTAGTACACTGTAAGAATATTATTACAACTTGTGAATTTGAAACCAATTTCCCAGGTCACATTATTGTGTCCGAAGTGTGATTTATATGTCATGGGTCCTTGCACTTTCAGGACTGTGAGTGTGCTAGATGAGTGAAAATCATTTCCCACTATTTGGTCAGACAAGAGTTGGAAAGTGGGTGCTGTGTACTAATTTCTTTACCTCTAATCCATCAGTTAAAAACTAGGGACATTTATGTGCATATAATCCTTTGTATAGCATAGCACAAAAAAACAACAACAATGAAACAGACTTATAACTCCCATAATGAATTAATTATGTTATTGTTTTTTTCCTGTAAAAGTTTGAGATCTGCTGATGTCTGGAGCACCCAGAATGGTGGATCAAATCCTTTCCCTGAGAATCAATCTCAACACATGAGAAGTAAGGATGACTGAGGGTTGTCAAAGTTGATTGGCACCTGTTAAATCCAAAATCACATATGGAGATTTACAGGGCTCCAAGGCTGTTGCCATCCAAAGCACCATAACCTCAGCTCTGTTTTAGAACAACTGAAAAGGGTTGGATGTGCTGGTGGTGAACAACCTCCAAGAGCCAGAGCTGTTTCTGTGGCTGGAGAGACAGTGGTCACCTATGAGTAAAATCATGAATCATGGTGCAGTAAGCCTCTTTTGCGCTGAGAAGCATCCCACAATGTCAACAGGAATATATGGAGTGGTTGAGGTCTACAAGGGTCAATGTGCACAAGTTTGCATGACAACAATTAGGAAAGGCCACACAATGAGAGATGTGTGATATGCAGGCATATCATTAGTTTCTACCTGGTTTAATAATATAGAAATTACAAAAAAAAATTCAGTTATGTAATTTCTATGCTGTAATGATGGTGGGAAACGTGGCCCAGAAATTTGTTAAGATTACCTTGTTCTAGTTGTTTCATTTCTTTGTTCTCTATAATAGGTGATGTCTATTCTGTCTAAGAGGATATTGCAGGGATATACAGTAGTTAGGTTAAAAAGATTGGCACTGTAACATCCTTTTCTGGCCGAGTATGACATTGACTAAATGCAATAGCCAACCAATGCTGTGAGAGAACAAAAGTCATGAGGTGATGCTATCAAATGGACAAAGAAAGAGAATTTACCTGTTGAATTTTGGTGCACTTTCTTGGTTCAGTTCTACAAGAAGGTTACAGAGGGAAGACTTTCTTTTAACTCTTCTAACACAGGCCTATGTATGTCACAACATTTTAATTTGACAGTTACATTCAAATTTAATTGAACTTTATTATCAGTGTATGTCAATAACATTAGCATCCGAGTGCAGTTTATAATTCAAATTTTTATTTTCTAATTTCCAAAGAAGACATTTAAACAATTTCTCCATCTTAACTTCTTCATTCAATTCAAGTTTATTATCAATGTATGTCAATAACATTAGCATCAGAAAAATTAAAATTTTTATACAAGTTTTAATTTCTAAAATATATATTTAAAAAATTTCTCAATCTTAACTTCTCTACATCATTCTGAATTGTCCTATTTTATTTTGAATGACTCCAACAGTAATGCACCTATACTGTCTGAGTTACGTAGACACAATCTATTAATAAGGCTCACTGTGCATTTTCATCTTCTTAATTTCTCTGTTTAGTGAGATATCAATAAATGTTCTCAGCTCATGACAGAAGCTCCAACCATCGTTAACTTTCAAAACAGTTTTCAAAACCATGTAATTTTATTTGTCATACATGTTTATAACCAATAGAAAGAGCTTATTTTCAGTTTCTAGTTTTTGATAGTTCTTCTGAAATTCGCTATGACAGATGTTACATGAAAGGCCTTGATTGTATGATGTATGGTAAGCAAAGTTCACGCTCACAGCATTTAATTATCTTTTTAACTATTTATAGCTTAGTTGGACAGTTATATCATAGTGTTTTTGGCCATTTTGTGTTAGTAAATTATGTATTATTTACATTTTAAAATGCATATTTGAAAGGTGTATGTTTTTTTTGTGAAAGAAGAGTTCGCCAGGCAGCTCATACAGAACTTTATGTGAACAGCAGGTGGGTGTAAATTGAAGTTAAAAGTTCAAATTACTGCTATTTTGTTAAAAACTATTTTATCTTTCCTCCTAAGGGGGCTATAATGCTGCATTATTATCAGACAAAATTTTCAGGAAATTCACAAACACTTATGAAATCAAACCAAGATCAAAACATGCGATTTTAATTTTAAATTGTTATATAAAAATTCAATGAAACTTTAATGAAAAATTTCAACTCTTAAATTTTGTTTTTAAAGAATGACTACAAGTTTATTTTCCATAATTCTTTTAATTCAATAGTGTAATTTCCCATACAGACGGGAAGTACCTATCCATGTGTGAAAAGTACATTAATTATATGTAATAAACAGACATTACTTTTTTAAAGAAATGTGCTTTTATTGTCTGTGTATGTACATATACATTCAACATGCAGTGCTTTAAGTTCTTTTAATTTCAAACAAAAACAGTTCCTTATCATAATACATTCATATCGGGGAATGAATATGAAAACTCTGCATTTACAACAAACATCCTTCAAAGACTAACTAAAACAATGTACAAAAAATATTTAATGAATTACACAATCCAACATTGATTCTTTGTATTCACATTCAAAACACAATTACATGATACCTTACACATATCTTGTACAATCTCTGTTCTTATATGTGGTCGTGACTAACAGTAACCTTAACTACTACATTACCTTGACCAGTTGGCCAGGAAACAACAAATATATATAATTTGTATAATAAAATCAACTTTAAAAACTTAGTACAATTTGTGACAGATTTACGTCACAACTATGTGCAAACCATGAAAATAAAAACTTTAAAAAATTACAATTGTACTTCCTTAAAGTCTTGAATTCATAAAAACTCCAGTTCACGCTCAATTCCCACAAACTTCAACTGTTCTGTAGGGCCATATCTAATGAGAAAAAACACAAACATGCATGCATGTCAACTTTAATAAACAATAAAGAACTAGTGTATCCTTTTTCTTTCAACCATATATGAATGTAATTTATCTTATCTTTACTCTGAATTCTATCTAACCACTTTACTACTGTTGTTTTTTCAGAGTCTAAATGATGTTTAATAGTACAATTAAATGACAGAACAGTTCAACAGAAATGGTTCTAGTTATACATAATACAACAGTACTATATGACAGCCATTCTGAGTCCTTAACATAGGTCTCTCTCATTCATCTATAACATTATATTTAAAGGCCCAAGTGTTGTGTTTGTAACTTAAGTTATTTGGGTAACAATCTTCACATTAACAATGATAAAAAAATCAGGATGAATAATTGCATTTAATTAACAGATCAGTGAATTTTACCACCATTTCTGAGATTGTAATATTTCTGTAAAAATATGGCCATGATTTTCAACAAAGTTGCACAGTTAGGCTTACTTCAAACACACACACACAGTTCACTTCAATAGATTTCCCAACATGTGAAAGTAAGTTTTGTATAACAGCACTGGCTTAGTGTTTAGTAAAACAAAAGACAAAAACACAAAGTTTACCATTTTATATTTTATGAAGTAACAAATACTTAAAACTTAATACTCAATGGTAATTTTTCTGATTTGAAAAAATTAGATAAAAAGCATGCAGTAACAAAACAAAATCTTTATCATCTACATATTTTCTACATAAATCAGAAATTCAAATACTACATCAGTCTTACATGCTATTAAAATCAGAATTACAATAGAAATTAATAACACTGAAAAATTAAGCCTAACTTGTACCTGTAATCAAAGAAAAGTTCTTCTCCAGACTGAATAGGGCGCTTGGCAAAAATTCCAATACGATGATCTCCATTAACCCTCATCACTTTAGCATAACAGTTAGGATTAACTGAATGATTAGCAAACCTAATCTTGTTTCCCTTTCTTGTGGCATCAACTACGAAATCTGCAAAACAGCACAAGAATTGCTTATATTCCACTATATTACTAAAAAAAAAAGAAAAACTAAATCACATTCACATAATACTGATGACAAGTCACAAGTAAAAAAAAAAGACTGATTTTGTCTCTCAGTTATATTTTTACTGAACTCACAAAATTCAGAACTGATTACATCTCTTCTATACCTAATAGTTTTACTGCATAAATTCCTAAGAGCATTTTTAGAGGCACAGATATGGTCACCGAAATGACCTAGAATGTTCTCAGCTGTTTACTGTTGACTAACTAAATAAACAACTAATCAGAGCAGTTAAAACTACCTACAACACTAAAGTTTTCCTTAGTAAATAGGAGCACAATGAACAAAATGTTAATTAATGGTGTATTGTGAAAGTTCCCACAATTAAGTGCTATAGGCCTAGTTTATAGGATGTTATGTACAGGGTATCCCAGAAGTCTGGACCCATAGGGAAAATAGACATTATATTCTTAAAGTTAAACAAACATATTTCTTATGTCATTTTTACATATTTCTGGAAAGAAACTACCCTGATGTCACAGTATACCAAGAATTGATATGTGTATGTCTGTTAATGGCATGCAATTTGAATAATAAATAAATTAAGAATAAATTGTGTATTTTTCTCTATGGGTCCAGACTTCTGGAATACCCTGTACAAGCCTCTTAAAAGGCAGCATGTATTGCATAGATTGAATCTTAATGTGTGTGTGTGTATACATACATACATATATATATATAAAATCATGAAAAAGTAGTAATTTTACCTATGTACTTACATTTACAGATGGTTAAGCAGATTATATATTCAAACAATTTTGAAAATATAAATCAGCATGTTACATGGGAACCATAGCCAATACAAAGTAGTAGTGTAGTAGAATGTATCAGTATTACATTTTGGTAATGTTTGGCATTTCATAGGTAGTGTGATGCCACCAAAAACTGATTGCTTTTGGAAAGATTATGTATCAGCTCTTTCTCACACAAAATACTTATACACTCAGATCATAAAGATATGTTAAGATTGGAGATTTAGAATTTCCAAGGAGATATCCCTTGTACTTAATGGCATTGGAAAACAATGGAATATGGATCAACTTAAAGAACCAAGACTAGTTAGAAAAAGACCTGCAACAAGTCATACCTCAACAGTGGAAAGCAAAATACAGTATCTTGTAACATAAAGGTCAATGGCAAAAGCTGTCCACATGATCTAGGCAACAGTGTGCAACTTATCAAGAAGCATCCGAGTCTTGACACAAGACACCTTTGACATATCTGTTCAACTCTCACATACCTCAAGCAGCTAGAGAATTAAACTGGTATTCATGTTATTATTGCATAAGGAGTCATACCAGTCAAGTCACTGGATGCAGCACCTATGGATTTCTTTGTGCTCTGACTATGAAAATGGGTGCTGGGAAACCACTGTCCATGAACAAACTGTACACCCAAGTTACTTTACACACAGTTCTCAACTACAGATATAATGTTTATCTTAATAATTATGCCTAATTTTTCAACATTTATGATCCACTAATCATCCTACTAGATAAATACTGAAGATTTTCCACTTCTTTATCTATGTTATTTTATTCTCACCACTTGAAAGATTCTAAGCAGTTACAATGTTCATGCTTCTTAGAAAGTGTCATTATTTTCTTTTTCTGTATTCTTAAGTATTGAAAGTAAATACATTTTATCAATGTCAATACATATTGAATATCTTCCCTAAAAAAAGGTATGTAAGAGAAAAACCTACAAACCTGGGTGTTAAAAATAAACATGTTTTAAATTATTTCCTGACCAACTGCTAGTATTGAGTTTGATAACAGCCAAATGCTAACCTTAGATAATGTCAAACCTCCTAAATGCCTAAAAGTTATATTACAAAAAATATTTGCAATAATTTTGTAACAAATTTATTCATTACAGTGCATTTCTTTAACATTACCTGTTTATCCATTGACACTTTTAACAGAACCTAAAATGAGCCGTGAAGGATGTTAGCAAAAAATATTTTCTATCATGGTTAATTTGTATTTATGCCTATGAAAGGTAGTCAACAAAACAAGTTTAGTGTACTTGGCCTCTACTGTTCTACAAGAAACAACTACTGTAAAACAAAACACTTTAAAATGGTTTACACTGTGACTAATTTCATCCAACCAATCAGAAAATGTTAAACCAGTATAAAGCCTATAAAAGTACAGGCAGTCATACTATGATCACTATTAGTGTAATCCACTAGTGGCTACCAGGACTGTGCCACATAACAAGATTGTATAAATAAGTTTTGGCAGGTCAAGGATACTCCAAGTGAAAAACTATGACAAGATTTCACGTTTTAGTAGTAGATGTGTACAAGAGTGAAGAAGGTATTTGTATCTGGCACTGAAACTCTCCCAAAGTAATGTTAAGTATCTCAGAGTATCTTCCTTACAAGATAGACAATAGTCAATTACAGATCTTGCCAATAACACTGCTGCAAATACAGGTGTGAATGTTACCCATAAGATCAGTATGATACTCATCAGCACAAAGTGGTCTCAATGGATGTGTAATCGAACCAAAATGTGGAAACTGGTACCAGACTACAATTAGTAAATGATTAAAGCCGGAGATGTGTGCTTTTGCAGATGAGTCCAAGTTTAAATTGTTTGGAAATAATTATATTTTGTTTGACGGTGAAGATAAGAATGGTATTATAGTTTATACATAAATCTACAATGAAGCATGGTGGGGGATAAGTACAAGTTTGGGGACTATAATATACAAAAAATTGATGGCACCCTACCTGCTGACAGGTACAGGTAGATTATTATCCAACATGTTATTCCCTCAAGAATATGAATCATAAGAAGAGAATTCATCTTCTAGCTAGATAACATCCCAAACATAGCAAATTGGTAAGGAAATATCTTGTTCGTAAAAAAGGCCAACAGAACACTTATTACCATGAACATTCTAGAACCTGTATGAGCTTATGTAAAAACTGATCAGACAACATGTCTGAATTACTGGGAGTAACAATAAACATTTGAAACAATATTTCACAACTGTGCATTAATAAACTGTATGTCAGCAAGAGCTCACGTACAAAATACTACTGCATTCTACAACTTATTCACTTTTGTATTTTCTGTAATAATAGTTTGTACCGTTAGTAAATTCATGACCTGGTTGCCATTACCGGTTGTTTGTAACTCCTGTATGTATGTGTGTGTGTTTCCATAATTACTTCCATTACTGTATCTCTGCTGTTCAAAAGGTATGAAAAGTACCAACCACTTTGATTTTAGAAATCTAGATTCAAACATACACATACTTTAGACAGGGTTTCCTTAAGTGGTCAGTATTTACCCCCTAGGGTTGATGAGACTGTACAGTGGGTGACTGAAGACATGGGGGGGATTGAAAATGGCCTCTAGGGTAAGGTTAGCCTGTGTAACTAACCATCGTATGCCTAGTAACAACAGCGAGCGAATGACGTTCGTACCTTTTCTCGAATCTTCCACAGTGTATAAATTCACACAGTAATGAAAAATATATATTTCAAAAATAAATTTTAATTTAATTATTTGTTTTATTTTATGATTCTTAAAAATGTTAATCAACATAAACAGAATCCTGCAGAACATCTATATTATGCTGAGATGCTAACACTAGTAAATCTTCAAACTCAATGATAACAAATGACCTACTTTTTAAGTTAACATTTTCACAAGATAACACAATTTTCTATAAGCAATTAAGTAATTAGGCTTTTTATCTTTAACTCTTATTTATTAACTTTTGTAGAACAAATAACATGTAATTAAAGAAGTACGGCTGTTTTCTCTTTAGGTGATTATTTTAACTCAAGTAAGTAAGTTTCTTCATGAGTAACTTACCATTGTTCAGGTTGAAGAGAAAACTGCACATATATTTGTCATACACTTTTCCACGTCGGTCAGCTTCATCTTGAGAAATTATCTAAATGATCACAGAATAGAGATGTCTGTTTTTAACACACTTATCAAAATAGCCAAAAGAATATTGACATGTGTTTACTAAACTTATCTGGATGATCATCAAAACATAGATGTTATGGTGTCAAATGCAAAAAAAAACTGGTGAAGCAATGAAACTAACAGACAGATCATTCATGATAAAGTCATATGTCAGACAAAGATGTTTTTACCACAACCCTCTTAATCAAATCAACAGTAACAATTTTATTTTTACATGATTCTGATTTGAAATCCACAATGGACTAATCAAAAGGAATGTAGAAAAAAAATGTGATTAAAGAATACAAGTGCATTCACTAGACTTATCTAAAACGTATATAAATATATAGTGGTAGACATATTTATCCAGGCCAATATCTATATGATGATGGTAACTATGTTACCAAAACTAGTCGGCTATGAGTAATAATAAATATTTTACATTTCACCGTGCCAAAAAAGTCTGTTTTCGTTTTTTTTACTCTTAATATGGTAGTAAAATGTGCCTAAAAAGAAATTACCAATTAGATTTTCAAGTTTTAAGTTGAACAGGAAATATTTACAAAGGCACACCATTATATATAAATCCTGTGAAATCTGAAATTGAGTGGACTTAAAATAAAAATACACCTTCTTGCTGGGCAAATGTACTAACATACAATATTATCAGATTCAGAGATGATGACATTACTAATCTCTGCATGAATGGTTTTGGAGAATGAAAGTGGGTAAAAGTTTATCTTTATCAAACAGCTCTAAAGGTTCACAGTTTGGATGCTGTGTAGTACCATGATTATTTCTTTAAATGAAAACTGTACAAGGTGCCTGTACTGATCCACTGTTCAATAGGTGACTTGCTAATTTTATTAGTTTGTCAAACTGATATCCCACAGCGTTTTTAATTTACAATCTTGATTGTTAGCCGGCTCATCCAAACTTAACAACTGTACTGATTTTTTGTAAAATATTTGGATATGCTATTTTTTTGTTAATTTTAAAATCACTTGATAGTGATGTGGTGTTATCTTACTTCAAGTGTAGAAAATAAATCTATTGACATATGTATAATATAGATTTTATAAACAAACATATTCACGTAATACCCACGTATTTATTACACCTAGCTACAGGATGTACATAATATAATATCTTTATTAAGTTTATCTATATGATAAACTTAGCAAATTGTAGAAATAAAACAAATATCATGTATTGAGATCTTATTATAATGGAGCTTGCGATGTATACTTCCAAAACTCGAATCTCAAAAACTACAGCACTGATCACCACCAATCATAACTGCGTAATATTTTTATAACTAGGAGTATTTTTATAGCTGAG